TAACTATAATAATGAATATAATTGAAATTATAAATATATGAATAATATTTACCAACTACACCAACTGCAGTACCTCCAAGCAAATATGCCATCTTATTGTCTTTTTTCGAATCCATATTTTAATACTGATAACTTTAAGCAATAATATAGACAATAAAAATAGTTTATAACACACAATATAATAAACTATATAGGTTTAAGTGTATCTAGAATAGTAATGTTTAATATAACATAAGCATTTATATTAAATGCTCTAAGGATATTTCAAGGTGAAACTACAATGTAAACATTACTCCTTTGTCCTTAAAATACAATTTTCTATGTATAATTCAGACCCACAAACAACACAGCGATTTCATTATATTCTTAGTTTTGTTAGGATCCAAATTTCAACTAACCGTTTTGGAATTGTTTCATATAGTTTTTTAATCCTTTTTTCCGATAAATTGTTGACTCTTCTATAATTGGTGACTGTAATTCTCTAAAACTCTAGGTACGAGTATTTTTTTGTAGGTAATTACTAAATAAAAGGCTTAGTTTTTCTAAGAGAATATAAATGCTAGTTTCAGCTTTGTTTTTCGGATTTTTAAAATTAAAAATCGTGTAAAATTGCTTCCGAAACCTCTTCTTGTAGATTTTGAACATTGATTGCTGATCATCACAAATGACAAGAACTGGAATGTTTGAATTAAAAAATTTGTATTTATTCATGAACTAGAAACTATTATTTAAAATGTAGCAAACAGGTTTTACAAATATTTGAGATTGTGTGTGATCGAGAATCTTACGAAGCAATAGTACAAGTCGAATATCGCGCCAAGTGTTTCAAATAGCGCGCCAGGCAGACGAATGCGCGAATAGAGTGAAATTGGAAGCATGGTAAAGTAGGACATCGGGTGTAGCTTGTTTCGCTTGTGGTTGTACAGATGTCGTGCTTTCTTACTCGCTCGTCACTTCCTCTCTTTGTCTAAAACTGTGAGGGCAGCACTGTTTAGTTGCGAAGCGTCAACCAATCAGAATAAGACAGTTTCTTTACCTACCCTCTTTGACCTGAACCCGTTGCTCCCGCATTACCGTACAACTTAACGGCGAAACCTTTGGAAGATGGCGCCTCGATTAATACCCATGTCTTTGAAATGACGTAGCGCTATCTATAGGGTTCTAGTAAGCTAGAACGTTTTCCGTTGTGGATCAAGGAAGCAGTGAGAAACAACGGCGGAAGTGGGGATCGTGCGCCATTTTCTATTTTTGCATAGCAGTGAACTAGTGTTGTGTGTGTACATTTTGTGTGATAGAAATCGATGAATTGCTAATAATTCGACAGAAGACATTTTCGGATAAATGAAATGATTTTCGGGAACACGTGCCTCGAATCTCGCGGAATCAACTCGTTTCACGTTCGTCTTCTGTGTTATCGTGCGTAAGCCCGTACAGCCCGTAGCACGTAAACACTTTTTCCTCATTTCTCTTTTCAACGAGCGAGAGTGGCCCGATCTGTCGATATTCGAACTCTTACAGGGGGGGAGGGGGGACATAATATCGGCGAGCACGGCAATCAAGTTCGCCCGATATCGAACTTTAATATTCTTTCCTTGCGCTTAAAGAGAAAACTCACGACATAGAAGGGAAAACCAATCTGTGATACTAAACAGTACTAAGGTATATAGCTAGGTATAAACGCGACAATTAGATATACGTATGTATGGCGTATGAGACGTAGATAGATCACATAAAGGATCTAGACAAGCGTTAAGTCTGTATAGTGCAAGCTGTGAATTTTACCTTGCTCGAGGGATAAACCTGGTTAAGAGCAGAAGAATGTCTCAGGAGTCTGTGACAAATGACAAGCAACTGCCAACACCGAAAGATGAAGGTATGAGCCTCCTTAGTTTACTTTCAGTTTCTCTTGATTCTACTTACAATATCGTTTCCTACACGAATTCATTTGATATCTCTACGTTTAAAGTTTGATTTCGATCCGACTGTTTTATACATCGAATAACCTCTTTGGTTTGTTTTCCTTACATACTTGTCCTAATTTGTAATGTTGCCTATATTATTACAAATATTGTTTCCCTTTATATGACGAGTATCGTGTAGAATATAGACGTTCGAAGGTTCTTTTCTATTAAAACTTGGGGCTTATGGCAAAATATTAAATTTATGTACAACCATCCAACTTATGTACACCTAAACATGTCAATAGTTGTGTCCAATAAGCCTCTGTATGTTTCTATTGTATATTCTAAGCATGTATATAACATCACTATTTATACATTATTTTTATTCATTTAAGTGTACATAAAATATTTGTTTATCTAAGTTGTATTATTAATATATTCATATTATTCAATTGTATTAATATGTTTTATACCTTTAAAATATGATTTATAATCTACAAACAAATATTTAATTCAAAGGCCTTATTATTATTGTTATTGTTGGTAATATTTTCGCTGTGTTATCATTTTTATTGTTGTTATTGC